AGCCCAAAAGAATAACATTAAAATATTGTCCTGGAATTTCCCTGGACTATATATTTTTTTTTTTGTCATGAGATCCCAAGAGGAAGCAGCACAGGTTAGCTGGGTGACAAAGCAGAGTTGAAGACTCCAGTTTGAAGGAGTACTGTGAGCTCAGGTGCTGGTCACACCCACTCACACTGTTTGGGGATGGGAATGTGAACATTTCCTGTCACAAGACCATGTTCACCTGCTTGGTGGATTTTTCTGCATGTGCATCAAGTCAGAAGAAGCACAGAAGCAGAAGGGGTGAGCAAGAGGTGTGTGCCAGAGAGCAGCTCAGGCATAGACTGACTTGGAAGTCCAAGGACAAGCATTTATTTCTGACAGCTAACAACATGTAAGATTTGAATGTTAGATAATTCCATTGGACAAATTCGTCCCCCTGAGAAAAAATGATTCTGGTCAGCTTTCTCAGAGATTATTAGCTCTAAAATTCATATTTTATTTAAAATTTATCTACAGATGTTATTCTTGAAAGGTGTTTAAGCTTTCAAAATTGTTTGCACAGAGACCTCTCAGGATTGCAAAACCAGCTGTCCAGTAAAGGCTGTGATGGTCAAATCTTCAGAAACATGGAGTATTTATTGCTGTCACAGTTCTGAAGAACAGAAACACCACAACTGTTCAAATTACTTGGAAGTTTATGGATGTCCTTTCTATGGAGAGGAAATTTGATCAAAACCAAAACTTTTTCATTAGTTCTATTGAATTGGATCATTGTTCTATTGAATTGGATCATCTGTTAAAATGCTTGAACACAAGGCACTAAAATTTAGGCGGATGAAAAATAGCACCTACACCACTAAAAAAACAAAAATAAAACTTCCCCCTTTCTTTTCATACAGGTACTCCCCTCTGTCGATCCAGTCCTCCCTCCCTCCTCAAGGTCTTTGAGCTTTATCACTTGAGTTTTCCAGCTGGCCTTAACATTATACTTTTCAAATGTAATATTAATGCTAATAATATCAATATTGATGTTAATAATGTTAAATTCTCATCTTATACCTTCTTTTTTTTTTTTCTTAAGAACACATGTTTTTTTCTCTTATTATCCCTGCACATAGTATTTTAATTTTGTGTATTGAGTAATATCATATTTGAAAATTCCAGATGTTTCCTTAAATGTGCAGCAAGTTCCTGGATCATTTGTTGTTTGCTGAAACACCGGAAGAAACAACTTGCATTGTGAAAACCACTTTTTTTCCATGCTAATTCAATTCAGCCTGACCTAAAGCATCATTCCAGGTGTTTTTTAGAAGTAAAGATTTCTTCTAGAACTTTGTTTTGATGATATTTTAGTAGGTTCATATGAAATAGGTTTTGTTCCAGCAGTTTAATACAAACTTGGCACTCCATGCACTTGTTTCCAGTAAAAAGGTAGTGAATGCCAATGCCTGTAAGCCATTGAAAAGGAGACATGCAGCATGTGAATGGTAAAGCTACTATACAGGACATAGATCTTCCTCAAATTACATTGACCTATGTATTTTACATGGTGACAAAAATATACTAAAATTCTTCACCAAAAGTTAGAATGCAAAATATGTATGTGTTAAAAAAATGGTTAGACATGATGAAAAATTATCTTGAACAGGATTTAGCAGGAGTCCTTCCCTTTGGCTCAAAAATCTTCTCAGCTGCAGGTCTTTGACACTGTTTACCCTAATTAAATAAAGCAGTTGTTGTACTTCTAGGGATGAAATAAAAGTGTATTTCAAAACTGTTTATATGATTTAGAATATAAATTTGTATGGGGCTGCTAGATGCCCATTGATAAATTCCTTAAGCATTTTTTTCTAATCTCTGACCCCAGCTGACCACCTATTTTAAAAGTCTTTTTTTCTTCCCATCCTGGTTTGTGTTGAATCTTGTTCACTTCAAGATGTCAAAAATCAGTGAGAGGTAAGGGGATAAATAGCTTAAATTGTAAGACAACATTTAACTTGTGAAAGAACACTTTATCTTTAAAATCACCCTCTAGCTGTAGTGGATGTTGCAGTACCTACACTATTGCTTTGTTCTGAACTCCTCCTAGATTGATAAGCACTGCTTTTAATATTACTACAAGCACCACTGAATTAACCTTTCAGGTCTTCAAGAAGCCACTCAGGTGTTTACTCTAATACCGTACTCTCCCCTTCCCCCCCTTATTTTTTTTTGTTTTTTGCGAATATCCTATAATTTATCCACCATAGGTATCAAAGTATTCTTCCTAATAATAGGCTTGATTGTGCAAATCACTTAGATATGGTTGGCAGATTAGGTATTTAAACAGTGTTTAAATAGAGAGATTGCTCTGAGAAGAGCATAATGAATGTCTGCTTGGTTAGCATTAAAGTATGCAAACTTCTTATAGTCTGCTTCCCAACAAATCCTGCTAATATGTTGTCATCACATCAGGATTTTAAAGTTTAAAGAAGTATAGGCATTTTTTCTAAAATAAAATAGAGGCTTTTTTTATATAGCTTAGCGAGACAGGAAATCACTGTCAAGCAATTATTTCCTATTGCTAAAGGACTTTTCATATTTTCATTCTTCTGTTGCCAGCAATCTAACAACTGTTGTATTAACAGTTATTAAATTTCCAATAATATGTGCCAAACTAAGACTGAAATGAGGAACAATTATGCCATTTTTCAATTATACAGGAAATATTAGGTTATCAGCTTATTATCTACAGATATTTTTTTGAGACCAGGAAAACAACCAAAAAAATCAATAATTATTTGCAAAAAATTAATTTCTTTCTGCACGTTTTAAAAATTGGGGAGTAAAATTAACAGATTTTAAAGCAAGGAGTTATAAAGGACTAATTAATTTTTCCTGACAAAGAGGCATCTTGATGCTAAGCTCAGAACCTGAGACTTACAATGTGTGCCTTGAAACTCTACCTTGCTCTTATGTCTTGGATCTTTGCTTGGCTATGTGCCAGCCTTTGATGCAAATTGTTCAGTCCCCACAGTTCGATATGACCATACATGCCATGGGATTTCTGTATTCATCTTAGGCATTACTCCCAGACATAATAAAACAGTTTTGAGATATACCTCCAGTTTCATTTGTTCCTTTCATTAAGGACTTGCTTTTTCGTAAAGTTTTAGACATGTTTCAAGAAAGCACTATATGCTAAATAAAACTACCCATAAGGATATTTCCAGAACTACCATAATTGTTATTTTTTCAATAATTTCCAGACTAGTTTACAATGCAACACTCATACAACAATGCCAGAAAAGTTCTTAGAGCAGGAGCTGAGAAACAGCTTCAATTAGCTCCTATAAGGTTGAGTGTAAAACTGAGCAGCAACGGTCTTTAAGAAGCAGCTTCAGACTTTCGTAGGGTTCCTGGTCTTTTTCATGGTTACAGGAATTTTGCTGTGGATTAGAGGCAATGCAACAGGAAATACTTGCCACAACCACCAACCACTGGTTTCTATTGCAATGTAAGGATCAAGACTTAGCCAGCCTGGAGCTGATTATCACTGCCAACCTCACAAGATGATGCCCCTCTGCCTGCAAGCTCAGTCTGTCCCCCTGCTGTGAGAGCAGCAAGGGCCCCCCTCCCCGACTCTGGCTGGTGCAAGAGGATAGTTCAATCATTTAACATGCTACAATTTACAACACCCTGTCACTAACCACAGCTCCTAAATGGGCCACAGTCACCTCACACACAGGGGCCAGGTGGGATAATTTGGTGTTTGCTCAGGTCTTTCCAAAAACAGATGTTTGGTGGAATTTTGTTGAGGCAGAAAAATGCAAGGAGAAAACATCACAAGCTGTGACATACACGACAGGAGCATGGAAAACTTCTTGTGTTTACCTTTTTCTCCTACAACATAATTTGTGTTTGTTTATCTTTGCTGCAGCCACTAAAAGCTGAACAGCAAATTAAAATTGATTAAAACAGCAAATTAAAATCTCTGATGACTCCCTTCATAGATAAGGCCTGCAGACATGAAGCTGGTGTTAACTGCTCTTCTCCCTTGACATTTGGTTGGGCAGCTTAATTCAGTTACCGCGGGAGCTGGCAGCTGCCCTCGCTTCCTCAAAAGCTCCCTTGGTCCCTGTTGAAATGGCTGCAGTCAACTTGGAATTTGGGTTTGCAACCTCAGTAATCTCTGCTATTAATTTTTTGCACAATGATGTCTTTTGTCACAGATTTGTTAAAACGGTATTGGCTGCTATTTAACAACCGCGCCCCAAAGAGATCAAGCAGATGTGGATTTATGAAGGTTTAATATTGGGAATGTTTTGCCTCTTCCCCTAGCATTCAAGAGATTTATTCACATACAATTGAAGTATTCAGCACCAAAACTTTATCCTTTTGGGTTTTCCAGACTCTCCTGTCTAGAGCACTTGGACACCTTGTCAGTCAGCTGAAATGAGCTTACTTCTCACTTTTGGTTAATTATTTTCCATGCTGGTTAATTATTTTCCATGCCTAGCCTGAAGTACCTTAACTATTTGTACTGTCATAGAAAGAAATAACAAAATTTATGTCTCATGAATATTTGTACACAGAAGAGTAAAAATTAATGAATAGTTAATGGTTAATGAATGGACAACTTGGAATTTAGCTCCAGATGAAGAATATCTTTTCTTTCTATGGGAAAAAAAGATACCTTTTTGTCTGCAATGTAGTTATACATAATTGCCATTGAATCATCACTATACAATATGTACTATTCTAATATTTGAGTGGGTGACACTATGGACAAGAAATATTTCTATTTGACTTAAAATTAATCAAAAATATCTTTCTACATAGAAACCAAAGAAATGAAAAATGAAATCTTATTTGTAAAAAAAACCCCCAAAACCCTGTAAACTTTTAATTTATCTTTTTTTGTTTGTTTGTTTCTTTGTAGAGAGAACAGATTTACTTTCTTGCTGGTGTGACTGGAATGGAAAAAGAAAATATTTGAACTAAAAAAAAAGATTGCAGTATTTTTTTTTTTTTAAAAAAAAAAAAAAAAAAAAAAAAGAGGGTCCTACTGCCACTTGTGCTAATTATTAAAGACACATTTACTGAAATAAAATGAAACCTAAACAATTTGACTCTGTCAGTTTTTATGAGAGTGTTAAAATTATTGCACAACCAGTATCCAATTTGCAACTTTCACATGACAAAACCCTTGAACATATAATAAGTCATCTGCTCAGCTGGACAGCTGTTTGAAATGCCACATTAATGGAATAAAGGAGATTTTTAATGTAGGCTCATGGGCTTAGTTCTCACAGTTTCTGTTGCCTTTCTCTTTCCTTTGTGACCAAGTGAAACATTAGTACAGAAATCCTCAAGACTGCACCTATGGAACCCCATTAGATGACAATAGGCACATGGAAGCAGCCCTGCAGTGACTCCCAGCATGCTGTGAGCTGCAGCAGTGCTACAAACCAGCAGTAACATTCATGCTGCATCTCAGCAATTATTTTTAATGGGAAGTTGTACTGACAGCTTGTTCTTGCAACTCAACTGAAATAGAAAGTAGAGCAACAACATTTCAACTGGGATCAAGATCACTTCCAAAGGAAGTTTTCATTCCACTGTAGCTATTTTTTAGAAAATATGGATTTTTGTCAGAAACTATGCAAGGGCCACTCCTTTCTGAGTACACTTACAGTTAAAATAAATGTGATGTAAACTCCTGAAGCCCTAGGAAATCAAATCCACCATCCCATTAGAACTGAAAGACTAAACCTAATGTCAACATACATAAATGTATATGGTATAAAAACTTAAAGAATTATGGATAATGAAATACTTGTAGTAGTTTTAAGCTTAGGCATACTTTGCAAGTCTCGATGCTACTCAACACTCACAGATCTATTACAGAAAGGAGGAATGACCCACATCTAGAGCCAGTCCCGTAGTCAGGGCTGTACTTACACACATGGGGTGAACTGCCTTTCCCCATGGACAGTCAGGGTGTGTACAAACACCTCTGTCTTACCAAACAAGCAGGGCTGAATTTAGTGGGAAAGACTGGGAAGTGACATTGTGGAGCCAGATGGTGCCAGTCCCAATAAAAGGCCCTGAAGGGCATCAAACATGGATTTCACCCCAACAACACTAGCCCTCTGAGCAGTGCCTGGCTTGGGGGCAGTGAGTCCAAAGTCACAGAATCAGAGAATATGCTGAGCCGGAAGGGACCCGCAAGGATTATCAAGTCCAACTCCTGACCCGGCACAGGACCATCCTCAACAGTCACACCAACTGCCTGAGTGCATTGTCTAAGGACTTCTCGAGCTCTGTCAGGCTTGGTGCTGTGATTACTTCCCTAGGAAGCCCGTTCCAGTGCCCAGCCACCCTCTGCGTGCGGAACCTTTTCCTGATATCCAATCTAAACCTCCCCTGATATAACTCCAGGCCATTTCCTCAAGTGCTGTCGCTGGTCGCTGCAGAGAAGAGATCAGTGCTTGCCTTTCCTCTTCTCTTCACGAGAAGTTGTAAACACGGGATGATGTCTCCCTTCAGTGTCCTCTTTTCCTGGCTGAAAAGACCATATCACCCCAAAGGAGTCGCAGTGTCTCCTGGGCGGGCGACGAAGCCGCCTGCTGCGCTGCGCCCCCGGTGTGCGGGCACTGGGCTCGGCTGATGCCTCGCATTGAGGGGGTTTCCACGGGCATCCCGCTGCCACCTACGGACGGGAGGGGAGCACTTCCTCGGGAAGGGGCAAAGAACAGCAGGCAGGGACGGAGGGAAGCCCCTTGCGATGGCGACCAGCGGCCCGCGGCGCTCTGGGTGCAAAGGCGCACCGGGGGCTGGCTGCCTGCCCCGGCAGCACCGGGAGAGGGATCCGCGCTCCCGCGCACACCTGCGGCACCGCCGCCGGGCTTCGGGGAAAGCCGCGCCGCCGCCTCCGCCCGGGCACCGGCCAGCGGAAACTTTCTCCGCGCTCCCTCGTAAACACGGCCCGGCGTCCTCCCCCGGACGCTATTTCGGAGCAGCGCCGTGTGCTCCGGCCCCGCACCGCCTCCCTGCCCTGCCCTGCCCGCTGGGAGGGCGGCCGCGCACCGCTCTCACCTGCAGGAAGGGGTCGGGAAGCGGGGGGCGGCCGAGCCGGGTGACCGAGCGAGGCGGGCAGGGCAGGGAAGGAGGGGAACATCCCGCTCCCTCCTCCACGCCGCTGCCGGCAGGGGAGCGGGGCCCGCCGGTGTCCGCGCTGCGGGCGGGGCGGGACCGGGCCGCCGGGATATTAATAGCCGTGTCCGGGCGGGCGGAGGGCAGAGCCGCGGGCACCATGCAGGGGAACGGGCAGCAAGCGGGGAAGGGCCACGAGGACCACCTGGACGGGGTCGGGGCGGCTGATGGCGGGCTGCAGACTGCGGCTGTGCCCATGCTGCCGGCCATGGAGGTGGCTGAGGAGCCGGAGAAGCCTCCGGGCGGCAAGAGCAAGGATCCCAACACCTACAAAGTGCTGTCCCTGGTAAGGGCCGGGCTGCCGCGGGGCCGGGCGGGCGGACCGACCTGGCTCTCACCTCGCCGGCGGGGGCGTGGGGAGCGGTGCGGCTGGCAGGTGTTTCGCCCATCTCCAAGCTTCGGGAGATGGGCACGAGCCCGTGGCGAAAGCTTAGAAGCCTCTCGGCGGGGTGGGAAGAGGGAGACTGCCTTCGGCAGCACGGGCTCCTCGGGATGCCCGGGACAGCAGTGCTACGGGACGGCTCCGCTTCAGGAGTCAGCCTCGGGCAGGAGTGTGGCACTTGCGAATAGACAGCGACCTGCCTCACAGAGGGATTCGTAACTCTTGATGTATTTTACTCTTTTGATGATAGTCAGCGTTGAATCTTTAAATTTTTTTTTTGTGGTGTCAGTGGTTGTCTTGTCTTCCATCATGTGGTTTTAGCTGTGTGCTGTAGGGGGGACACCAGAGAAGACAAAACCTGGTTAAAGTAGGAAAATATGGCTAGAAAACCTGAAAAGAGTTCAAAAACCGAAAGGACAGAGGAAATGTAAAAACTTGCCTTTCTCCGAATTTGAGCTACCGTGGGTTGAAAGTTTGTCTCCAAGTGCTGCTGGTAGGCACTTCTGGCCCTTGTTCAGAAGCCCCAGCAGCCAAAGCCATTGTTAGCAGGTAGGTCACTTTCCAGTTTTAGCCACGCTCCTGTATTATAATTATCCTCCCCACAGAGATGTGAAAATAAGACCTTCCAACAATCATTATGAGGCTAAAATCATTATCAAGGTGAAGGAATTGTGGTGTTCTTGGAAGGAAGCTTTAGTGGAATTGCAGCAGATGTCACTATGTGTATATATGCATAAGTAGTCCTTTTTCAATACATTGAAGCATAAATGTCAAGGTGCTTATCCAAATTTACTGATATCTTTGTAACCTGGCTACCATTTCAAATGATTCATCCACCCATATCATTGTGACTTCAGGTTGGTCATACTTTCTGACATAGCAGGAGATGAATTATGTTTCTAAGTTTGTCAGAATATTATAAGAAAAATATGTAAATTAATGCAAAGGTCTGTGGTAGTTTCCATGCAGAAGCTTTTTTAGCAACTTTTCTAATGAGTTGTCCCTGTAAATAAAGGTTGTGGTTAGTAGCTTGCTTCACTACTTCATTGTTTTCTGGGGAGGTTAAGGTTGTGCCATAAAAGCCGCTGCAGCTGGATGGTGAAAACAGCTCTTTTCAGGCTTAGAAATTAGATACTAGTAGTGGGAAATACTGTTATCCTATTCAAAACCTATTGAATAACATTGTTGTCTTGAGCTTTTTAGGCTCTAATGCAACAGAATTATTAGAGATGCATAGCCACTTAGAGACTGGACTTGAGCACAAGTTAGTGTTTGCAATTACTTATTCTTCTGAATTAAGTTCTTATTCTCCAAATGCCATTCATTGAGAACTGGCAAAAATTTCCTCCTGTGCTCATGAAAGTGTCAGAGGGAAATAGGTCATCTATATAGAAATAATTAAAAAATTCTAAATATTTTTGGCCATGCACTATTTTTTGGGTGACTGCAAACACGGATATAGTGTACGATATTCAGTGAGAACTTGGAAAACTTTCTAAGTACTGCAGGTGATACTGGATTGAGTGAAACAAGAATGTATTTAACCTAAACATGTCAGAAAGGGGCAAACTGGAGTTGGAAATGCTAGTTTATTCTTTCTCAGAAACCAATGTATTTATAAAGCATTGATAATATCCAAATATAATAAAGAAGTGAGTAGACTTACCTCCTTGGTGTTTGTAGTTTTTTAGTAATGTGAAACTATTAAAGTGTCCAGATGTAGGTAAATCTCATTTGCCTGCATTTATCCTAGCTGTATGTGCTATTGCTTCCTTTATTTATGTAGATAAAAAAAACCCACAAACAACTACTTTCAAGTGAGATTATGTTGAAATTTTATAAAAACTCATTAATGACTTTCTGCTGATTAAAGAATACTTGAATCAGTCTTCTTATTTTTCTGGAAAGCTCAAACTAGACTGCATTCTCCTTTTCCTTCACAAGAGCCACCTGCAGATGTCTGTGCAGTTTATGAACACAACCTCAACATTCCCAGCTCTTGTCCACGAGCCAATCTTACCCTATCACAGAGCAGATGTTGCTGCTACACAGGGAGGCTTCCACAAGTGGTGGAATTTACTAACCCACAGTGCTTTCCTAAGCATTTTAAGCCGCCTTTTTATTTACTGTCTTGCCACTTTTTTGAGCTCAAACTGCTGTCCCTCAAAGCCCACTAAACTGTCTGTCTGTAGTCTCTCCAAGCTGTTGTGTAAGTGAGCAGTATGCTGCTGCCCAAGAGCAGCATAACCTTTGCTTACGTTTGAGGTTTTCCCACTTGCCAGGAACTCAAGCATTGCATTTTGGTCTGATTCATTCATTCCATTAAAATAAATTTTTTCCATGCCAGTCTAACAGCTGAAACATTGAGAGAAATAAAAGAAATAATGTAAGAGAATGTTTCTTTCCAACAGCTTCAGGCTTTTTTTCAGAACTGGAAAACTCATTTAAACTGACACTTTTGTTAGAAAAATTCTAAAGGAGTTTTGCAGCTTGAGAAATCCTAAGTAGAAAAAAAAAGTCACAAAAAAAATCGAGGTAAGGTCCAGACAGAGACATTGAAAGTGTCTTAGTCTCATCGAAAGAGTAACTCAAGCATTTCAGAGTGCATGAAGATAATAAATTGTGAAGTTTAAAAAAAATGCTGTGAAATACACTTAATATTTTTATAGTGTGGGGTTTTTTTTCCCCCTTTTTTCATTAAGACTGTCCAGTCTTTTTTATTTGTTTGGGGTTGTTTTTGAGGCATGTCCCAAAAACGAACCAACTTCCAGCTTTGGGCAGGAGATTGAGCTGAAAACCTCTTCAGGTCTCTTCTAGCCTTATCATATCATAGAATGGTTTGAATCTGAAGAGATCCCTATAGATCAGTTTCAACTCCTCTGTCATGGGCAGGGACACCTTCGCTAGGCCAGGTTGCTCAAAGACCATCTAATCTGGCCTTGGACACTTACTGGGATTGGGTATCAACAGGTTTTTTGGGCAGTCTCTTCAAGTGTCTTGAGGCCCTTACAATAAATAATTTCTTCTTAATGTTTAATATAAACATACCTTCTTTCAGTTTAAGGCCATTTCCCCTTGTCCTATCACTACGTGCTCTGTACACAAGTTTCTCCAGCTTTTTCATTGGCCTCTTCAGGTACTGGAAGGTGCTATAATATCTTCTCAGGGCTTTCTTTTCTTTAGGTTGAATAGCCCCAAATCTCTCCACCTGTCTTCACTGAAGAGGCGGTCTATCTCTCTGCTTATCATTGTAGCCCTCCTCTGGAATTGCTTCAGGAAGCTTTAAGAATCCCTCTTATGCTGAGGGTGCCAGAGCGGGGTGTAGCACTCCAGGTGGGGTCTCACAAGGGAAGAGTAGAGGGGCAGAATCCCCTCCTTTGACCTGTTGGTCACACTTCTATGGATACAGCCTAGGAAGCAGTTGGCCTTCTAGGCTGTGAGTGCACATTGACAGCCTGTGCCCTGCTTTTCATTTACCAGCAGCCCCAAGTCCTTCTCTGCAGGGCTGTTCTTAAGGAGTCCTTCTCCCAGTCTGCACTCACCTCAGGGATTGCCCTTACCCACGTGTAGCACCTTGCACTTGTTGAACTTCATTAGGTTCTCATGGTCCCACTTCTCAAGCTTTTCCAGGTCCCTCTGGATGGCATTCCATTCTTCTGGTATGTCAACTGCACTACTCGGCTTTGTGTCATCTGCAGACCAGCTGGGGATGCTGGGTCACGCTGAGCTTCTCATCCGCTAACAGCCCCAAGTCTTTCTCCTCAGGGCTGCTCTCAAACCATTCTGTGCCCTGCCTTTGCTGGTACTGGGATTGTCATGCAGGACCACACACTTGGCGTTTGCACAGTCCCACCTCTCAAGCTTGCCCAGGCCCCTCTGGATGGCATCCCTTCCCTGTTGACTTCATTACACACCTTGGTGTCATTGGCAGAGTTAGGGTGCCTTGAGCCTGCTGCCCATGTGGCTGACAAAATGTCAAACAGTGCTGGTCCCTATGCTGACCCTGAGGAAGGCACTCCTCACTGGTTTCCACTGACACATCAAGCCCCTAAGCATAGTTCATGAGTGTGCCCATCCAGTCCACTAAGTGGTCCCCCTGTCAAATCCATGTCTCTCCAGTGTAGAGACCAGGATGTCATGTAGAACGTGCCAAATGCTTTGCACAAGTCCAGGTAGATGATTTCAGTTTTTATTCCTTCCTTCACCACTGCTGTAATCCCATTTTAGAAGGCCACCACATTTGTCAGGCACAATTGCCCCTTGGTGAAGCCACAATAGCTATCACCTATCACATTCTTATTTTCCATGTGCCTTAGCATAGTTTTCAGGAACATCTGCTCCCTGATTCTGTAAATCTGGTTTCAGTCATCTCAGTCATCCATTGGCTGCTAAGTTAAGCTTTTATGAATCATAACCCCCCGTTTATCATAAATAAATTAGACCATCTCTGCCCAAGGGAGAATTTCTGTTGCCAGTTCATATTTGCCATTGCTGCAGTCAGCAGAGAGTCTAAGTGTAGAAAAAAGGATCTATCGGATGTCAAGATATTCTGT